TATATATATATATAAACTTTAAAGCGCTGTTGAGATTTTTTGAGTTTGCAGTTCAATTGAATCCAACAAAGAATTTTTTTTCTATTGAAGATACTCAATCAGAATAAACTATTTTTACAATCAGCCTGATGCAGTTTTTTAAACTGTGCTCTGAATAAAAAAATTTAAATATATTAGTAAAATTTTCACAGCATGGGCGTGTTGTCAGCATGTGTGCATTTTCTCACAGCATGTTTGTATTTTTTCAGCCATATTACTTGTGAAATCAGTATTTTTGAATTTTAAATTTGATTCGCTTATGTTTCAATTTGATTATTATCCATTGAAAATAATCAAATTGTAATATAAGCAGATGCATACACAGATTTGTGGTAGTGATCTCTGAACAAAGAAATTTTTGAAAAATATTACAATGAAAAAAGGGGGATAGGAATTTTAAAATTGTGAAACTTTTAAAAATTTTCATAATTTTACCAGTTTTAAAATAATTAGATAACATTACTAATTCTCGAAAGGAAATTATTGATTGATTGCTAATTAAAGCATCAAAAAATAGAAAAATAGAAAAAATTGTTCTATTATATTTAAATAGAAAAAATTGTTCTAAGGTTACTATTACTCCTGTCTTTATAGAATAGAAACAAAAGAAGATACATCCTGAAAAATTATATATTTCTTCTGAATTTTTACGACCTGTCTTTATAAAAGTATTCTGATGGAATATTTTTTTAAAAAATGTTTGTTTATCTGAAATAATGCAACTTTATTTTTTAATTTTGGTTCTAGAGATTATTTTTTGGGGTAAAATTTTTTTGGTTTCAAACAAGTTTAAAATAACATGAAATTTTTTTTTCTTAAACTAGGATCACACAATAATTCTGATATTAATACTCTCAATTGATATTAATATCAGAATTTATAATTTTACTAATTTCTTCTACCTTTCTTTTAATCATCTGATTCAAATAAAAATACAAGCAAACAAAACCCAAGTACCTTAATAAAATAAATTAATAATTTTTCATAGAGTAAGTAATATAAATGACAATCAGAAATCTTGAACCTCAACTATCAAATCAGAATTATTACAAGGTTTTGAATATAGCAGTATGTAATCGTATTTTCGTACTGAATGCGTTTCTAAAAATGTAAGTCAAAACTTAAGTAAAAAGAAAAAATTGTATGGACTTGTTTTACTTTTTGCATAAATATTGACACAC